GGACATAGGATAAAAGAATTATAAAGGAAAATACATTGTGGAGGGGAGGACATAGGATAAAAGAATTATAAAGGAAAATACATTGTAGAGGGGACGACATGGAATCAAAGAATTATAAAGTAAAATTCGTTGTAGGGGGAGGGGACGACATGGAATCAAAGAATTATAAAGCAAAATACATTATAGAGGGGAGGGGACGACATGGAATCTTTTTATGAAAAATTATATTATGACAGTCATGATACCGAAGACATAGACTTGCATGATTTTACAAACTCATTTGTGGTTCCAAAATTAGATGATATTCAATCTGAAAGTTTGGAAGGGTTACTTACTTTGGGAGAAGCAGCAATAACATTAAAAAATATGAAAAATAATAAAAGTCCTGGTTCCGATGGTTTTACTGTAGAATTTTTTAAGTGTTTTTGGAAACAATTGGGTGTTTTTATTGTTCGGTCCATAAATTGTGGGTATGATAAAGGTTCACTATCTGTAACTCAGAGACAAGGAATTATTACATGCATTCCCAAGGGAGATAAGCCTAGACAATACTTAAAAAATTGGCGACCCATATCATTGTTAAATATTGTATATAAAATTGCTTCAGGATCTATAGCAGGTAGAATAAAAAATATTTTAAATACATTAATCAGTGATGATCAAACAGGATTTATTGCGGGTAGATATATTGGGGAAAATACTAGATTAGTTTATGATATCATGCAATTTACTGAGGAAAACAATATTCCAGGTATGTTATTAATGATTGACTTTGAGAAGGCTTTTGATTCAGTGTCATGGGAATTTATATCTAAAGTCTTAACATTTTTCAATTTTGGTTCTAGGGGAGACACTGGATAAAAGTTTTACACACAGATGTGTATTCAACTATCAATCAAGGAGGTAATTTGTCCTCTTTTCTAAGTATTAAAAGAGGTTGTCGCCAAGGCGACCCAATCGCCCCATATATTTTTATTTTGTGTGTGGAAATACTTTCCATAAGGATAAGAAACAATAAGATGATTCAGGGTATAGAGATAAATAATAGTCCAATCCTAATTTCTCAATATGCAGATGATGCGTCTCTCATATTAGATGGTACTGAAAGATCTTTGAAAGAATCCATTGAAGAATTAAATACATTTGCGAGAATTTCTGGTTTAAAATTGAATATAGATAAAACACAGGTGATCTGGATAGGAAGTAAAATGTATAGTGAAGATATGTTTTTACCTGAATTAAATTTACAGTGGGGAAAGAATAAGTTTACTCTCCTTGGAATAGAATTTAGTGTTAACCTGCATGAGATCCCCAAATTGAACTTTGATAAGAAAATAATCAAATTAAAATCACTAATTAAAACATGGAGTAGAAAGACTTATCCAATAGGGAGAATTCAGCTAATTAAATCTTTGTTGTTACCTCAATTTACTCATTTATTTATCTCTTTACCAAATCCAGACAATCAATTTTGATTAGGTTAAATAAAATGTTTTTTCAATTCTTGTGGAATGGGAGTTCTGATAAAGTTAAGAGGGATATCATAACCCAAGAATATTACAGATATATTGGTTAAGGAGGCTGTATCAAAAGTCTGGAAAGTGGCAAATCATTTTAAATACATATATTGACCTACATAAGCTTTCAAATTGTGGTAATGAGTATATTAAACTATGTCAAAATAATTGTAAAAATGATTTCTAGAGGGGAGGACAAGGATCAATAGAAGTGGTGTAAAGCAAACATGGGAAAAGAATCTTTAAAGCTCCATTATACAATGAGAGTTGTAGAGGGGAGGACTATATTTTATACGGAATGGTATAAAAAGGGGGTTATTGTTGTGAATGATTTAATAAAAGACAGTGATACTCTCACTTTGTATACTTTTGAGGAATTTTTCCACTTATATCAAATAAACACAGATTTTCTTACATACCGTGGTAATCTTCTATAACATATTTAGGTCAAGTTGATCTTGAAAATACTAGGGCAGTTTCAATTGAATATCCTTTTATACCCATCAATGTTTATTTTTTCATAAAAAAGATGAAAGGGTCTAAAGATTTGTATAATCTTATTATTAAAAAGAATTATAAAGAAAAAAATGGGAGGATAGGATCCAATTAAATAATTTGCAATGGGAAGAAATCTACAAAATTCCTTTTAAAAGAACTATAAAGGAAAATACATTGTAGATTAGGGAGGACATAGGATAAAAGAATTATAAAGTAATAATACATTGTAGAGGGGAGGACATAGGATAAAAGAATTATAAAGTAAAATATGATTGTAGATCAAAGGACATAGGCAAAAATTAAAAGAATTATAAAGTAAGAATACATTGTAGAGGGGAGGACATAGGATAAAAGAATTATAAAGTAAATTTTATATAACTAGGGAAATATATAGCAAATAGTGTAGAGGGGAGGACATAGGATAAAAGAATTATAAAGTAAGATATGTTGTAGAGGGGAGGACATAGGATAAAAGAATTATAAAGTAAGATATGTTGTAGAGGGGAGGACATAGGATAAAAGAATTATAAAGTAAGATATGTTGTAGAGGGGAGGACATAGGATAAAAGAATTATAAAGGTATATATATATATATAAATATACCCTTTGTTGTAGAGGGGAGGACATAGGATAAAAGAATTATAAAGTAAGATATGTTGTAGAGGGGAGGACATAGGATAAAAGAATTATAAAGGAAAATACATTGTAGAGGGGAGGACATGGAATCAAAGAATTATCAAGGAAAATACATTGTAGAGGGGAGGACATAGGATAAAAGAATTATAAAGTAAGATATGTTGTAGAGGGGAGGACATACCCTCTCTTTTCTTCTCTTTCTTTTTCTCTTATAAAAGAATTATAAAGAAAAGATATGTTGTGTGTGGTGGTGTGGATAAAAGAATTATAAAGTAAGATATGTTGTAGAGGGGAGGAATAGGATCTATAAAGAAATTATAAATGGTAAGAATATGTTGTAGAGGGGAGGACATAGGATAAAAGAATTATAAAGATGTTAAAAATATGCTTAAAAATAAAAAATTAGAAAAATAAAAAAAAATACATTGTAGAGGGGAGGACATGGAATCAAAGAATTATCAAGGAAGATATGTTGTAGAGGGGAGGACATAGGATAAAAGAATTATAAAGTAAGATATGTTGTAGAGGGGAGGACATAGGATAAAAGAATTATAAAGTAAGATATGTTGTAGAGGGGAGGACATAGGATAAAAGAATTATAAAGGAAAATACATTGTAGAGGGGAGGACATAGGATAAAAGAATTATAAAGTAAGATATGTTGTAGAGGGGAGGACATAGGATAAAAGAATTATAAAGTAAGATATGTTGTAGAGGGGAGGACATAGGATAAAAGAATTATAAAGGAAAATACATTGTAGAGGGGAGGACATAGGATAAAAGAATTATAAAGTAAGATATGTTGTAGAGGGGAGGACATAGGATAAAAGAATTATAAAGGAAAATACATTGTAGAGGGGAGGACATAGGATAAAAGAATTATAAAGGAAAATACATTGTGGAGGGGACGACATGGAATCAAAGAATTATAAAGTAAAATTCGGTGTAGAGGGGAGGAGAGGACATGGAATCAAAGAATTATAAAGTAAAATTCGTTGTAGAGGGGAGGCAAAGGAATCAAAGAATTATCAAGTAAAATACGTTGTAGAGGGGAGGACATGGAATCGAAGAATTATAAAGTAAAATACGTTGTAGGGGGGAGGGGAGGACATGGAATCAAAGAATTATAAAGTAAAATTCGTTGTAGAGGGGAGGCAAAGGAATCAAAGAATTATAAAGTAAAATACGTTGTAGGGGGGAGGGGGTGACATGAAATCAAAGAATTATAAAGTAAAATTCGTTGTAGAGGGGAGGACATGAAATCAAAGAATTATAAAGTAAAATTCATTGTAGAGGGGAGGCAAAGGAATCAAAGAATTATAAAGTAAAATACGTTGTAGAGGGGAGGCAAAGGAATCAAAGAATTATAAAGTAAAATACGTTGTAGAGGGGAGAGGAGGACAAGGAATCAAAGAATTATCAAGTAAAATATGTTGTAGGGGGGAGGGGAGGACTTGAAATCAAAGAATTATAAAGTAAAATTCGTTGTAGAGGGGAGGAGAGGACATGGAATCAAAGAATTATAAAGTAAAATACGTTGTAGAGGGGAGGACAAGGAATCAAGGAATTATAAAGTAAAATTCGTTGTATAGGGGAGGAGAAGACATGGAATCAAAGAATTATCAAGTAAAATACGTTGTAGAGGGGAGAGGAGGACAAGGAATCAAAGAATTATCAAGTAAAATATGTTGTAGGGGGGAGGGGAGGACTTGAAATCAAAGAATTATAAAGTAAATTTCGTTGTAGAGGGGAGGACAAGGAATCAAAGAATTATCAAGTAAAATACGTTGTAGGGGGGAGGACAAGGAATCAAAGAATTATCAAGTAAAATACGTTGTAGAGGGGAGGACAAGGAATCAAAGAATTATCAAGTAAAATACGTTGTAGAGGGGAGGAGAGGACATGGAATCAAAGAATTATAAAGTAAAATACGTTGTAGGGGGGAGGACATGGAATCAAAGAATTATAAAGTAAAATTCGTTGTAGAGGGGAGGAGAGGACATGGAATCAAAGAATTATAAAGTGAAATACGTTGTAGAGGGGAGGACATGGAATCGAAGAATTATAAAGTAAAATACGTTGTAGAGGGGAGAGAAGGACATGGAATCAAAGAATTATAAAGTGAAATACGTTGTATAGGGGAGGACATGGAATCAAAGAATTATAAAGTAAAATACGTTGTAGAGGGGAGAGGAGGACATGGAATCAAAGAATTATAAAGTAAAATACGTTGTAGAGGGGAGAGGAGGACATGGAATCAAAGAATTATAAAGTAAAATACGTTGTAGAGGGGAGGACATGGAATCAAAGAATTATAAAGTAAAATACGTTGTAGAGGGGAGAGGAGGACATGGATATAATGAATAAGAGGAGAAAAAGAAGGTACATTGAAGAGGGTACGGGATTTACCCTGAAGAAGAGGAGAAAAAGAAGGTACATTGAAGAGGGTACGGGATTAACCCTGAAGAAGAAGAGAAAAAGAAGGTACATTGAAGAGGGTACGGGATTTACCCTGAAGAAGAAGAGAAAACGAAGGTACATTAAAGAGGGTACGGGATTTACCCTGAAGAAGAGGAGAAAAAGAAGGTACATTGAAGAGGGTACGGGATTTACCCTGAAGAAGAGAAAAAGAAGGTACATTGAAGAGGGTTCGGGATTTACCCTGAAGAAGAGGAGAAAAAGAAGGTACATTGAAGAGGGTACGGGATTTACCCTGAAGAAGAAGAAGAGAAAAAGAAAATACATTGAAGAGGGTACGGGATTTACCCTGAAGAAGAAGAGAAAAGAAGATGCATTGAAGAGGGTACGGGATTTACCCTGAAGAAGAAGAGAAAAAGAAGGAACATTGAAGAGGGTACGGGATTTACACTGAAGAAGAAGAGAAAAGAAGATACATTGAAGAGGGTACGGGATTTACCCTGAAGAAGAAGAAGAGAAAAAGAAAATACATTGAAGAGGGTACGGGATTTACCCTGAAGAAGAAGAGAAAAGAAGATGCATTGAAGAGGGTACGGGATTTACCCTGAAGAAGAAGAGAAAAAGAAGGAACATTGAAGAGGGTACGGGATTTACCCTGAAGAAGAAGAGAAAAACAAGTTAAAGAAAACCCAGCATCATGAGTCTTTTCGGCATGGAATTTTCTTTTCCTGAACATTTGAATGACAGTTGAAATTAACAAACGTCTGTTATTACAATGAATTATTCGTTAAACTAAATGACCTACGACGCAAGTTTTTTTGAGAATTAGAATTATTTACATTCAGTCTGTGTTAAATGCATGTAATTTCCTCATTAGAATCGTCGAATTTGATTTGTGTGCGTAGCACATTACACCTGCTTGGTTCGTGTGGCAACAATCTGACTCAGACGCCAACCAGATCCTTCCTCTGAGTGCGGCAGAGTAAATTATTCATGTAATTTGGAGAAAGTCGTTATTAGTCGCCATGTTAAGGTGAAGGTCGTCCGACTTCAACATGCATACACGCCTACCTGGCCAAGCAAGTATTTAGAACATTAAGACATCTTGCCAAATTAATCTTCTCCTTGTAGTTTTTGGCTTTCAATTTCTGCTCAGGGTTGATGCAATGTTCCATGTAGGAAATGTTATTTAAGTAGTGAATTTCGCTACATTAATAAAATCACTGATCGTAAGAAGTTGTATTTACTCCTCCTTCGAGCTATAAATTGAATGAAATCCTCTTGCAGAAGTTGTCTGGACTGAAAATTGTTCTGCTGCCATATTCAAATTTATACTTCACACATTAGTGATATAGTTATGTAAATCAATCCGTGATATTTTTATTATGTTTTTCATTCTCGTTATTTCTATTTTGCGAATTTACAAGGGTTCTAAATATCTTTAACAGATACTCACACTGATATTTTTAATTCGGTAAATGTAATTTTAGATTTTTGATATGTACAATTTTGTTTTGGAGGTTTTGAAAGGAACAGATGCACCTATACACCAAGTACACTGTGCAAAGATACCTTAGTTCCATCCATCCAGTGCACTATCATGTAAAGTCAAGCGCACTAAAGTTTCACTGTAACCTGGATCCTATAGCGACTGATTTCCACCATTTTGCGTAGCTGCGTTTTCGCATTGCCGCATTTTCGCGTTGTCGCGGTCCAAAGCGAATGATAAAGATGATCGATCCAGAATATTGACAGTGAAATTGCAGTGCACTAGATGAAATTAACACAGGAGTTAATGCAGAAATATAGTTATCTTTTTACATGGTACTGCAACATGCAACGCAGAAGTGCGCTATAGTACACTAAGATTTTTACATTACGTGTAACATAAGTGCACTATTGTGCAAATGCAATGCTCTGCAGTATGTTTGATATACCGCAGAATATATGAACACTTGTCTATCTCGTTCACTGCAATATGAACTGCAGGTGACATTAACTACACATGGTACATATGGTATGTCGATGTCTAACTTGTGAAAACAATGAACAGATATTAGGAAAGACGTTGATACACCAATAATATATTCCATCAAAGGAACACATTTGTTTCAATTATTTCAAACCAAGGTTATCTATAAAAGCTGAAAGCACGCATATTCTAAACATGGTATACATTACTTTCAATTACCGACTGTTGTGTGCTGATGAAGCAACCAGCGATCAATGTATAATAGTTTCCAATTTGAGAGAGAGAGAGAGAAAAGAAAAAAAAATACAACAACGAAAATATCTTTCTAATCTCCTTTTTATGTCTTTTTCTAACTTTTTGTATTTCAGGACAGAAATATATTCGAAAAAAAGATATGATTTTTTTATCTTGTCATTTGCAAATCTATAATTTTATATACATGATTTACTTTCATATCACGCAAACTGACAAACCAATCATTGGTGACGTCATTGTCAAAATTCAACGTAAAAGGACCTGTAGTTTACAATAATAACCCACTTTATTTTTTTCTGATAGGACCCGCCAGAAGTATCAGCAATGTCTTCTAGAACATTTGAATCTTGGTCCACTTTCGGATGAATGAAATCTGCATTACCGAGTTCCTGTTAACGGTAGCGCAACATGGAATGAAGAAATCAATAATATAATGATGTATACTAGTATTCGGATTTCGGACAAACGTACAGCAGCACTATAATTTATGTATTAAACAAAGCGTAGTTGAGTTGATTACAGGCCATTGTAGCCATCTGGTGTATTTTTGTTTTTTTTTATTCTTTGCTTTGTTTTTGTCTTTGGTTCTTTTCTTATTTTTATCTATAATATGTTTACGATCTCGTCACACTATTTTCGACCTAAGTGTACATAGGATTATAATGCATCCGAAAAAGTTGTCCATTCCTTACCATCTCGTCCATAAGTACGCCAGTGCTTGTACAATCCACACAGGTGACCATGAAGTCAACGAAACGCCTTCATCTAATCTTCTACTAGTTGTTTTATAAGAAGTTCATTTCTATATTGTAGTACTACATTTTTAATATCTCTATATGTCTTTGTAGTACAAAATTAACGGGATTCCGAGCAACCAAATTTCAGAGTTATCGTTCCTGAGGCACAAGCAATTACTGTGTAAATGGTAAAACGTTCAGAAATTTGAGTCAATCTTGCTTTAGTTTATCTTTTGAAATCGTTTCAAAACCCGAGGTCTGATAGATGTTAATGTATTCGTTGTCTTTGGTTGCTTTTTGAACATAAACTCAATTTATCCAAAGTACTAGACTGTCGGAATTATAGTTTTTTCTTTACAATCTCTTTTCTTAAGGAACAAAGGGAATATATACACAGAAAGAAAACGTCTTTCGAGCTATTGTCTTGGTGAAATGAGAAAACCGCCGACTATGGACTCGAATGACCTTTGCGAGTCTGCGTAACAAATTAATGTTCGTCACGGACGTAACGAAAGAAATTTGGCGTGACAGTCTTTATCACTGATATACAACTGCTGAACCTAAATATCGTGTGAGAAGACGAGAATTCACGAGAATCTCCACTCTGACGAGTGATGCCTAGGTCATGCCAATATCGGCGTTACGGTATGCGAAATCAACATTCGTCATTAACAGCCCCATTGCCCGTTCAATCTAGCAAGAATATAGGCCATGTATATGTCTACAGGGAAACTATACTGTTCATTAGTACCGCAAAATTACTTCCCAAGCATGCGTACTGGACACAACGAATGATATCCATATCAAACTTCAGTCTGCGTCACGCTTGATTTCATCCAATCGTTAGTCGTGTCTCTATATCCTTCAGTAAGTGGCATAACAAATCGTTTTTTCAGGAAGTTAGATTTTAAGAAAATGGAAAAAAACAAAATGGTGGAAAGCCGTATCAGGAAGTGATGTTATACCTACAGTGTAGGTATTTAATTGTTTTATCCTGACAATTCACAGAGAAAACAGGAATCGTGTTCATTTGCTTGTTACAAAGTGCAGGTTTTGTTTGGTTTAGTGTTGCTTTACGTCCTTTTAACAGCCGGAGTAATTTAAAGACGTGTTAGGTTTGGGTGGTGGAAGAAAAGCTGGAGTTCGCGGAGAAATACCACCAACCTGCGGCCACTACCAGAGATGGAGGGCTTGTGATTAAGACGCTCAGAGGTTAACCACCTGGCCGCCGCCATATGTACATAACGCGGATATTTCTTGAAGTAGATAGCGATATATTTATAGTAGCGTACAAAGTATATGTAAAAACTGTAGGGGAAAGCGAAGATAAAATGCCTTTTCTGATCCTACTTTTCATTTATCTACTGTCCGAAAATGTAATCAAATGGTTTCTGAACTCACTGATTTGAAATCAGTTAATCGCTAATGCCTTGGTACAAACGTTTCATAGATTCATTATTCAAATGGCATCTTTCCCCAGTTCGGCGTACATTTAGCTGGGTTTTGTCATATAAATCAAATACATAAGTTTTTAATCAAGACAGAAATTCATTTTTGTGAAGAAAAATACGTCATCCGACATTCAATCGATTTTAAAAGTGTCACGAAATTTCCGGTAAAATAAATTATTGTATTGAAAATTGCTTTCCACGCGTTTGTCTTTTTTAGACTTATTAACCATTTTGTGAATTGATTTGCATGTTCTATTTGAATATTTATGTGAAATGTTACTGAAATTCAAAATTGTTTGATAAATGAAAAACTTGTCAATATCCATAACTTGAATTCTAAATTGAAAAAAAAAAATAAACAGGTAAATAAAAACTGCAAAATGTACAGTACGCAAATGTTTAACAGCAGAACGATACAAAAAGCTCGGAACATTGATATTATTTTGTATGTCTTCTCCGTTGAGGCAGTTCTCGATCATTTCTTCCGCTGTAACCTACAGATGGTTTCCTCGTACGGAAGCAGCACGCGCTCAGGTTCACATGAAGCCATGTCAATCAGCCCGTGTTATTCGATCCGAGCTATGTATCCTATAATAACAAAATGGCTGTTATTGTCTAAAACGCAACGTCTGTTTTCTTTTAGGTGTTTGGTTTAATCACATACATGCTCGAATGCAGACTGTAAGATAGACACAATCAAAGCAGAAAATTGAAATTACAGACTTGTGAATATATCTAGGTATAGCAGTAGACCCACCCACATTGAAAAGCAGTGAGAGCTACTGAAGAAAGGTGTGTACTTTTATATCGATAACAAAATTTCGTAAGAACTTTCATTGATGAACTAATATAACATGTAGTCAGGTGCACATTTCTTGAGTATCGGTGATATACACTGATGTAAACTACTCCAGTATCACTATATCAGACTGATGTAGACTACTCCAGTATCACTATATCAGACTGATGTAGACTACTCCAGTATCAC